CATTGAATTAAAGCCATTATCCTTATCCTGAAGGCATTAGACACAAGCGCGTAACGGTTTTTACGGGGCAAAACCTACTTCATATAAAATTACACATCTCAATTAAGATGAATAAGATTGATTGAGATTGAATTTAGAAGTAGATGCGGTCAAAAATAAGACTGATTGAGATTAAATTCGAAAGTAGTAGGGGTCAAAAATAAAAATCAAAGTCTTCTGAATTGCAATAAAACACAGGTCGGAGTGCTGGAAGTTTATAATTAATTTGACAGCATTATTTTTAATATTGCAATTTAATTAATAAAAAATAATTTATTCTCTTTTTAATCATTTTTTTCTCTCAAATAAAATAAAACATACTCTTATAGTGTTTTTTTTTTTTTTGGTTCGAGACAACTTAGGGGAGGGGAGAGAAGGTGGCTTTATTTAATTGGTTATAATAATTGACATGTATGTAGTTCATGTTGACCATTCGAATATGAATCGCTAGTCGCCTTGCAGTCTCTGGTTCCCTTACCGTCCCCCTTACCATTGAGCCTCAACCACGGCCGGAAATAGAGCCAAAACGCTCGAGGAGATCATGAACAAATCAGTCGACTTGGTACTTCCTCTCTCTTGCTGTAGCTAGCTCCTTATTTATTTTTCTTGATTTGCATATACATATAACAAGGTAAGGAAGTGAGCATGTGTTTTGTTGCTGAGAAAATGGAGTTAAAAAGAAAAGTTATTGAGGATTCGTATGTCTTAAGAACTTTTTAAGAATTTTCTGTTTTTTTTTTTTTAAGTTGAAAATTTGAGAATAAAACTGGCTGATGAGGCTTTTCAATTATTTTCGACGTGACTTAATTTTTGTAAAAATGTTTTCCTAGCCATAACCCTCCTACTGATTTTTTCATGGCTTTTTCTTGGCAACCAAACAAGCAACTATGACCTGTTTGAATATGAATTGCAACAAATTTCCTTTTTATAGTACTAGCTTTATAGTTTCTAGATTTACGTAGTTTTCACTTTCATCTTGAGGGAGAAAATATGGATCGATTTTTGCCAACAATAGGAAAGGGTTAATAAATAAGAGTAAGGTTTAAACCTTGAGGCGGTTACTATTCGCCTATGATTATGTTGCCGGAAAGATACAGGTGGAAGTGTGAATATAAGCACCGAACCAAGCGGAACAAGTGAGTTGGCATTGGCAAGGTTCCGGTCCCTTGGCATCTTTGAGTAACGTAGTCGACAAGGGAATCATTATTAAATTGGCTTATCAAATAGGGTTCGGGTGATGAAATTGGCTTCTTTGCCTGAATATTTATTTGACTAAGAAGTTGCTAATTGTTTTCAGGAACGGATACCTGTAGAGGAAGTGTTGGAGCAGCTGAAATGTACCAGGGCTGGACTGACTTCAGAGGAAGGAGCCCGTCGACTCCTAGTTTTTGGACCAAACAAACTAGAAGAGAAAAAGGTTTGATTCATTACCTTTACTGTATGTGGCTTCCTTTATTTTGCATTCTTCCATATGACAATATGATGTTTTGCAAACAGGAGAGCATGATTCTCAAGTTTTTGGGTCTTATGTGGAACCCTTTGTCATGGGTCATGGAAGCTGCTGCTATCATGGCTATTGTCATGGCAAATGGGGCTGGGAGACCTCCAAACTGGCAGGAATTTGTTGGTATCGTTGCGTTGTTGCTGATCAACTCTACCATTAGTTTTATTGAAGAAAATAAAGCTGGTAATGCTGAAGCAGCCCTCATGGCTGGTCTTGCTCCCAAAACTAAGGTGAAAACATAGGCTCCTCTCAGTTTGTATATATTCATCTTGTTTTTGCTCCTTTAAACTTGGTTTCAGTTTTTATTTTCCTTCCTCTGGGACAAACTGTAGGTTTTAAGAGATGGTAGATGGAGTGAACAAGATGCTTCAATTCTGGTTCCAGGGGACATAATCACCGTTAAATTGGGAGACATAATTCCTGCAGATGCTCGTCTTCTTGAGGGTGATCCTTTAAAGATTGATCAATCTGCTCTCACTGGAGAATCTCTTCCTGTCATTAAAAGCCCCTCAGATGAAGTGTTTTCTGGTTCCATATGCATACAGGGTGAAATAGAAGCAGTTGTTATTGCAACTGGTGTGCACTCGTTTTTGGGTAAAGCTGAGCATTTAGTAGACAGCACCAATCAAGTTGGGCATTTTCAGAAGGTTATCACAGCCATTGGCAATTTCTGCATTTGTTCAATTTTTGTTGGAATATTCATTGAGGCAGTTGTCATGTTCGGGATCCAGCACTGCAATTACAGGGATGGGATTGACAATTTACTAGTTCCCTTGATTGGAGGGATCCCGATTGCCATGCCAACTACGTTATCTGTCACCATGGCTATTGGTTCTCAAAGGCTCTCTCAGCAAGGTGCTATTACCAAGAGAAGGACAGCCATTGAGGAAATGGCACGCATGGATGTTCTCTGCAGTGACAAGACAGGGACTCTGACCCTGAACAA